TCTCGACTACCTAAAGAAAATTGGCTACCTACACCAGTTGTTATTTTTTATACTGTTATCTTAAAACGTTTTGCTTAGTGCCAGCTAAGCAACATTGAATTGGCGCAATTTGACCTCCGTTGTCAATGCGCCGCTAAAACCCTAATAATCAATCGCCGTATTCGACAGAAAGTTTATGCCGAGAATGACATCTCTGGAACAGTCTTGTAGAACGACGAATTTCACAGGGCACGTTTCGCCGTGAATTTCGACACGAGCAGTGCAACTTCCGACAGGCGTGAAAGATGTCCTCTGGCGGTTCGAATTTGTGGTCCTCCCCAGGGCGTCGTAACTTTTCGCAGGCGACGAGAGAGCCCCCCACTCATGATTGAGTAGTCTGCTCCGGTGTCCACGAGTGCCGATGCGTCGTAGCCGTCGATAACAACATTTAGGTTGTTGGACACCGTTGCAGGGGCTTCTTTGCGATGCGTGGCGTAGGGAGAGTGGGAGCGCCCCGGCGTTCTTGGAGGCTCTTTGGTCGTCTTCGGCAACGCCACCACCAGGCGTTGCCGCATTTAGTTTTCCCGACGAGAGGGGGGGGGGGGGGGGAAGGCTGTCCCGACGAGAGCGGCGGAAGGGCGAAAGCGCACGTCGAGGCGAAGACGAACGGGAACCTCGGGGTGGAGTCGGCACCGGGGACAGGGGTCGTCGGAGGTACTCCTCAATGTCTCTTGGTCGCTCCCCAAGGCGAGGTCGCTCGGCGCGAAGCCTCGCAGGCCCATTTGTCGGTACGGGCACCTCCGGTAGACGTGATCGGCCTCGCCGCAGTGATAGCACAGGGGTCGTCGATCGGCCGTCCGCCAGACATCTGTCTTCTTAGGCGCCGGTTGTTCACTGCGGACGAGCTGGGGTTGCCCTTCCCGACGTCGAAAAGTCTGCGGCTCTGGTAGGTCACGTCGAGGTAGCGCCGTATACGGGTGAGAAGGGGGCGGTGGTCGTCGGGTAGCTGCGGCGTAGCTCAGCTTCGGTGGTTCAGGAGCGGCGCTGGTGAGAACTTCTGGCTGCAACGCCTGCTGAAGTTCTTCCCGGACAATCTCGGTGACAGAGGGAGTAACCGGGGTTGTGGCAGCAGGTAGCAGCTTCCTGATTTCCTCCCGCACGACGTCCCGGATAATCTCGCGGAGGTTCGGGCTGTTGCAGCTGGAAGTCGAGATTGCAGCGACGCCGAGTAGTCGCTGGTAATGGGAGGCCCGTGCTTGAAGGGCACGTTCGATGTTTGTTGCCTCGGTGATGAAGTCGTGGACGGTGATAGGCGGGTTCCGCACAAGGCCTCTGAAGATGGTCTCTTTCACCCCTCGCATCAGGGACCGCAGCTTTTTCTCGTCAGGAGCGTTTGGGTCGGCGCGGTTCATGAGGCGGAGAACGTCCTCGACGAAACTTGTGACGCTCTCGTTCGGCCCTTGGCTTCTTGCTTGAAGAAGTTCCTCGGCCCGCTGACGTCGCTGCTGGCTGCCAAAAGTGCGTCGAAGCTCCGCCTGGAAGTCTTGCCACGACGAAATTGACGCTTCGTGGTTCTCAAACCAGGTGCGTGCAGTGCCTTCCAGAGCGAACTAGACATTTTGCAGGCTCTGCTCAGGACCCCATCCGTTGAACCGTGCGACGCGTTCGTACTGACCCAACCAGTCGTCCACATCTTCATGAAAATTGCCACTGAAATTCGGCGGCGTCCTTGGTGGGGTCTGCATGTAGACAATGGACGTCGGTGGCGCGCCGTCTGGCTGCGACGTGGTGTTCATCGTCGGCTTCGGTAGCTTCTTTGTCCTGTCCGGCAGTGGTCCAAGTTCCGGGGGTAGACCGAGGTCGCGGCTACTTGATCGGGTCTCGGTCTTCTCTTCGTTGGGTCCTCGGCGGCTCGGGATCGGAGTTGCACTGCGGGCCCTTGTAGGGGTGTGCTGAACGGACATGCGTATTCCGCACCTCCACCAAAATTTCACGGATCGTGACCAAAAGAACAATAAATAAACAGAACGACATAAACTTTTAATGTGGCGAACTTGTGCCAAAAATAAACGGGTACAAAAGAAAATAACAGAGCGTCGCGGGGGTCGAAGTCGGCGTAACAGCGGAGTCGAACGCTGGGGCGAAACTGACCCTGGCTCGCTATGCGAAGGGGCTTCGCATAGCGAGCCAGGGTCAGTTTCGCCCCAGCGTTCGACTCCGCTGTTACCTTTTTTTTTTTTTGTGGAGCCATTCCTCTTCTTATTTTTTGTCTTTTTGCTCGCTTTGGAAGCACATCCCTTGGTACGCCAAAAAGTGTGGCAGCAACGCGAAGGGAGTGACGCTGTTGCTTCACTTTCAAGAGCATTCGTAGTGTTACTTATGCGCCATGAAGCCCCTGTTGTCTTTCATTTGTACGTTTTGATCCTCCTAGACACCGAGAGGAAAATATGACTCAGGAACAACCAGGAAACTGGTACATTATGGACACACGCGTCATACAATGCCACATTGCCGCGTTTTGTCTCGCGTGTATCCCGTTACGTGAATATTTATTTCCGTAAAAAAAAGCATGCTGAACACTCATTTGGTCAAATTTGGTCTGCATGAAGCTAATAAAACTTAGGAATGAAATTAAATTATACCTTGGTAGAAAGTCTGTGCCAACCGGGGTGTAAACTCGGCAATCTCAAGTCGGCATTTCTTTTTCTCCGGAAAGGATTTTCCAAAGGCAGTCATTTTTGACTCACGCAAAGTGAACAGGCTATGGCACGTCTCGGTGAAGCTTGAAACTTGTGTCTAGGTGATAGCTGGCACTAAACAAAAACTTTCGTGAGGGTGCCTTCACTCCAACTGTCGCATTTTGCCCCGCGTCTCATTTGGCCCATCTTATCCTACTTCACTTTGGACAAACGCAATCTATTAGTTTTGGAGCTTCCCCCACACGAGTGTTCGTGCGGTCGAGGTGTTTTTTGACATATCAGTAGTAGTAACGAGGGCATGTACGCAGCTTTTATCGGCGCCCAGCATGCTCGGGCTCACAAGCGCTTAGCTTCGAAAGCCTACACTGTAAAAAATAACCGTCAAATTTACGGCGCTATACGCTAATAAAAACTACAAGCACGCCGTGAAGAGGAATTACCTGAAATGCACCGTAAACGAGCAAAAAAGCCGAGAGGGAAACGCAAAACTTCATGGAGCAAGAAAACAGAAAGAAAAGACGCGCTTCGCTAATTGGTCACCACGCTTGACCTTTCGGAAGCTGCGGGAACCCAGAGCCTCCTCTCGCCCCTTCACCTCCTTTCTTTGTCCGCGTCGGCCGCGCCAACGCAGAACGTAACTGCCTTAACTGCAAAAAAAAAAAAAAAAAAAAAAAAAAAAGAGAACTAAGAGCAAACAGTAGAGCAACAATGCGACGAGCTAGAAGCATAGACAAAAGAAAGGAACGTTGGTGGGGGCAACGCGGAAAGAAGTGGAAGAAGCTGACGTTCAGTTCAATTTCCCGCCCTCCCACCCGTCTCCGCGCCATTTTGTCCTCGTTCTTTCGTGGCATTCCCGGATTTTCGTGCACCTGAAAATTTGGAGCGGAAGGCAACTGGATATTTGAGGCAGGTATTTCACTATCAATCTGCTTCTTGATTAGCAAGGATAGTGTAATGGTGCCGTAAATACAACACTCTAAAAGATGTTCACTTGCGGAATTTGCAGTTTCTGTTGAAGCACGCTTGATGGTTGTGCAATTCGATGAGCACGTTTTCAGCTCTCGAATTCTTCCGTGTGTGGACGAAGGATGCTGTCGCCAGTTTGTTACGTATGATGCTCTCAGGTGTCATATTTTGAGAAGACATAGGCATTCCTACGCCTAAGGGAAGTTTGGTTTTTTTCGAGGAGTTTGGAAAGCTTTCAGTGCACTTTGCCACCATGCCTAGAGGAGTGCCACACAAGGGAGGCTTTGCTAAAACATCTAAAACGCCACATCACCGACAGTATTTTGTTTTCGTGTTCGTGCTCCAACTGTCAGAAGGTGTGAAATCATAGTTCGATCACGGCACATTTGAACTGGGTGCATTTACGAGTGACGGGTTTCTTGGGCGACGGCGCATCGCCTGCAGGCACGCTTCAGGTTGAGGACTCTTCAACTCGGTCGACTAGTGCGGATTATAATGAAGACGGTGCTGTTAACGTGATGCAATCCCCTGATGATAACTACGATGTTTTAATGTCTCTGTCTGCAGGAGAAAAAAGAAAGGCCGTAAAATACGACCTTGTTTTTTTTTTCTTGTACTTGAAGTTTAACGGAACGCTTCTTATGCAGGTATCAACAGTTCAAAAAACCATTTATGCATTTCAACGTCGGCATTTCTTGTACAAACAATACATGTTCGGCCAAATTGCTGAAAGCCTTCAAAACGTGCTTGGTTCAGTCGAGGTTCATAACATCATTGAGTTCATAACATCACTATACAATGATATTATGAACCTGAATACTACCACCTTTCTCGCCGTTTAAATTGCACCGTAAAAATAACGGCGCGCTGTAATTTTTTTTTTACCGCAAATTTGAAGGCCGACCGCAGAATTCTACGGTCCCCGTTTAAATTTATCGTAAACCAGATTTACAGTGCACCGTTATTTTTACTGTACAAGTTTGGCAGCGTCAGCTGCCTGGTATTTGACCGTAAATTTTACGGTCAAATTTACAGTCAGGACGCTAAAGTGTAGCGTCCTGACTGGTGCCCCATACGAGCAGGCACGTGTGGCGTGCACGTGAATATAGCTTTGGCAGGCTTACAATTGCACGTGATTTTCCGCACGAGCAGAAGCATTGCGTTGGCCAGATGCCCAGCTTTCTGAGGCTATGCAGTCAAAGGTACGGGAGCGCGTGCCTTGGTGTGCATAGCCACAGAAAGTTAGTCTGCCCGTATGGAAAACAAGGAGCTCGCGATTACAGCCTGCGATTACACACCAAATATTTAGCAGCCATATTACTGTTTTGATTGCAGCTTTAAAGCTTTCTCTGAAGAATGAAGAGAGCGAGCTTGCAAAAGATCGATAAGTTCTTCAGTCCTGCTCCCAAGAAAGCTCTACAAATTCCAGTCGAGGGCACCGATGAAGAGGCATCAGTAGCGGTCTTCTCAGCGCTGCCCTTGAACGAGGAAGGCAATAACAGCTGTGTCCTTGGGTCGGCGTCATGTCGCATATTGCTACCCGATCAAAGCGTATGTTCGTACCATGATTCTGCCTCTGGAGCTAACCAAAATGCCGAACATCAAAGCGAAGCAGCGGACGTGACGTCTTCGAGCGCCTGCCCGAGCTAAAATATTTCCCTAGTGGCAGCTCCAGGCGACATCGGAAACTTTGTTGGGAGACAGGTCGATGACTGCACTAAGCGGCATCTGTTGGAAACACATTGGTGTCTTTCGGAGAACTATAGTTTTCCATACTCAGTCCACAGAAAGAACGGCAAAGACGAGAAGCGATATGTAGGTCACTCGCATCTAAGCAAGTTCAAGTGGCTTGTTCTCCCTGACTCTCACAAGGGTCTATACTGCAAGTACTGCGCCTTGTTCGCAACGGGTAGCGTGGGAGGCTACCAGAAAAATATTCCACTTCAAAAACTTGTCACGAAGCCACTTACGTCCTTCGTGCAATTGCTAGGTAAAGATGGGGACCTTCCTGTACATGACGCCAGCAAGTACCACAAAGAAGCAATGCGGGCCGGGAAGAACTTCCTCGCGTGTGTCCGCGCGCCCGAAAAAGATGTGGCCAATCAAATCTGCAGTCAGCGTCTACATCAAGTAAATCACAACCGAAACCGCCTGTTGCCAATCATAGAGTCGATCATCTTTCTAGGGCGCCAGGGTATACCACTGCGTGGACACAGAGACGACGGAACGCTTCTCGAACGGTCAAGTGAGCCCTCGTTGACGTCTAACGAAGGCAATTTCCGCGATATACATCGCTTCCGAGTGTCAAGCGGGGACACTGAACTACAGAAGCGCCTTGCCAGCACGTCATTCCGGGCCACATACATAAGCAAGACAACCCAGAATGAACTAATCAAGTGCTGTGGAGACGAGGTCCTTGCTACACTCATCCAGTGGGTGCACGGATCAGGCGCGTACAGCATAATGTTCGATGAAACGACCGACGTATCTCACACATCACAGCTGAGTCTCGTCCTGCGGTACGTGCACAAGAACATGGTACGAGAAGACTTCGTGCAATTCGTTGACCCGCGCAGTGACAGCGACGCTCTCGACGTCAGTGTAACCGAGCCTATTCTGACAGGGAAAGTACTCGGGAAACAGGTTGTAAAAATGTTGAAGGATCTAGGACTCGATCTCGAAAGATGCGTTGGCGTGGCGACAGATGGCTGCAGCGTCATGGTGTCGGAGCTATGTGGTGCCGTTTCCGAAATCAAGCGGTGTGCCCCAAACGCAGTTCACTGCCCTTGCTTTAACCACGCGCTCAACTTGTCCTTGTCCAAGTCATCGCGAGTTCAAGCCTTCAGGAACGCTGTAGGAATTATGGAGATCATTTCCTTCTTCACAGCGTCACTAAAACGGAACATTGCGCTGAAAAATGCACTTGGCCATCAACTTAAAGGCCTTTGTGAGACGAGATGGGTTGAACGACACGACAGTGTTATACAGTTTAGAGATTCACTGGGCTGCGTGTCCACAGCTCTCGACGCCATTGCCAGCTGGAGAGAAATGCAAAGCGCTGCAAAAGCGAAGGCACTCCGTGTCTCGCTTGGCGATGGCGAGTTCCTAATGGCAATAGTTTGCCTGTCGGACCTACTGGCGCATACACTGCCATTGAGTCGTCTGTACCAGAAGGAGTGCGTCGACGTTCACACAGCAAGGAACACGTTGACAGACACTATAGCTGTTCTGACTGCTCAAAGACAGAACTGCGAAGAGGTACTCAGGCCTCTCTACGAGCAAGCCGTCGCGCTGGCAGATGAGCTAGACACAGAGCTGAAGCTCCCTCGCATCACGAAGAGGCAGACTCACTGGTCCAACCCCCCTGCGCTCGATTCGGAGAGCTTCTACAGGACGTCGGTCTACATTCCATTATTAGATAATGTGTTGGCAGACCCGAGATCAAGGTTCACTGAAGAAACTTTTTGAGTCTGCGAGCTCTTCGTCTTCATGCCGTCTCAGCTGCTGCACGCCACAAGAGAAAACGAGGCAAGAGTGGCAACAGATATTGCCCAGCGATATTGCTCATTCATCGGAGCCCCGATAACCGCAAAGGTTATTCAAGCTGAGCTACGGCTATGGCGGGAGAAGTGGAAGCGCGAAAGCGAAGACGGCGCGGACATCCCTTCGACTGCTGTGCAAGCGCTCTACATGTGTGACAGTGAAGTCTTTCCTTCAATTAGGACTTTCCTGCAAATACTGGCCACTCTCCCCGTAAGCGTTGCCAGCGCCGAAAGGTCTTTCTCCACACTCCGACGCTTGAAAACATGGCTGCGGTCACAGATGAGCGATGCACGTTTGACCGGCCTAGCCTTGCTGCATACACAAAGGGACATCTCTGTTGACTGTGGGAAAGTTATCGATCGCTTCGCCAACGGAAGTCATGGAAGACGGCGGTTAGAGTTTGTGGTGTGAAAATGCGAACTTATTCTTTGCCACTTCGTAATCACATAAACGGACATCGCTGCCAGCTCTATCCATAAATTTATACAAAACTGACATAATTCTGTGACATAGATTTTGTTTCAATACTGTTTCGAATCTATTGCATGAAGTGACATGCGTATGTTTCCATTTGGGGTGATTATTTCACTCAGTTCGTTTTCTTTGTATCCAGCGCATGCCCCATGTGATTGTCAGTTTGAAGGAGGATTAAGACTCTTTTTGTGAGAACTTTGACTATCTTTCTTGTGCGCACTTCAACAATGATTTGCAACGCAGTTGTTACTGCTTTCGTGATCATCCTGTACTTATTGACTTTCTGTTCTTTTCGACACACATATAGAATGGCTGTTCGCAAATGGGGTGGCGTTCCTTTAATTACACGTGAGTTTTTTAACTACCCGAACTGTAGTTCAGTGATACACTTACTGCTGATATTTCTTTTCTTTTATACTACCGTCGTGTTGATTGTTCCTTTCATACAGTAACCACGCTTGCTGTACTTAGAAATTGAGCTCTTGAGCATATCAGTTTAGATAGACTGTTTCAGTGACATGATTTGCATGATGAAGTATGTCATTTTGTCACGAATTATGCAAAGGACAGCTATGTTGGCATTCTTGCTTTTCGTCTTTCAGATTTTATATTGGTGTTCAACCGTAAGACTAATTTTTTTGTATCATTACTAAATCTTGCTGTTAACCTAGAATAATATTTATTTGAAGAAATTTGCGTTGGCGAAAAATACATTTAAACTAATAACTGCACTAGTGTATGTCTTTCATGTTCGATCATCCCTCTGCAGGCTGCACGAGGCGGTACTTGTTCAGCTGTCATGTTGTATTCTACTACCGGGACCTTCCTTCAATAAATCAATGTGCGGTATACTCTCATAATAATTATTTTTCTCGATAAAAATGTAGTAACCTCGATCACAATTATTATTTTAATATCGCATTTGTTAAAGGGTAACTGCAAAGAAAAAAATTTTTTCTTTAAAATAGCCTAATTGGAACAAGCATGTCAAAAAACAATTTTTCCGCGAGAAAAAACATTTTTTACAGCAATATTTATTGCGTGAGACTCATTTTAGTTTGCGGCTATTTCGTCCGTTTTAAATCGCGCGCCACGAAGTTGTGATTATGTGACGTCAATCCCAAAAGGTTCTCATTGGCTAAGAGTTTGATTGACAGCTTAGATCTTGGTTGTTAAACCTTTGTTATATGTTGCAATTTCCTTTTGAGCGGCATATTTTTACGTTTAAAGAATAACCCATGTGATGAGAGTTATTATTCTTTACAAAAGGTTTTCAAGACGGGCGCTTCCGTTTGGATTCATACAAACAAAAGCTTCGCCATTCTTTCATGGCCGCCGAAGTCTCTGCTCCCGCCTGTCTCGCCTACCTCGACTAATCGTTTCGCCGAAGTGATCAGTGTTTCGTCGTTTCGTGCTAACCTAGGTGCTTGAGTGAGACTTCTTGAAGTTAAGTAGTGTGTGTTTAGCAGCTGTCGCAGGTGTTAGTGATAGGAAGCGACGCGGGGTTTTGGCTTTCATAGCGCGGTTCTTTCGTTTTCATCTTTGCTTGCTTAGCGTGCTTTTTTTTTTCTTGTTGTTGTTTTGCTTGTTTGCGCGTGCAAATGCTGACTTTTCGGAGATGTCAGATGCGTGATCCCGACAGTGAGCCTTCCAGCAGCCATGTCGCTCCGGAAGGAATGCTATTTGGCTGAAGGCAATCGGGCGTTCGCTTAGCGACCAACGTGTCTAGTTACGTTCTCGTCATATCGCTCTGGAGGCCGTCGAGATTCGCCCCGTGTGCACCTAACGTCCGCGACTAGACAGAAAATAAAAAAAGCACTATGTCCACTACATAAAAATGGTCTCAGTTCATGCATCTGTAGGCAGGTACGAAATCGTGCCCAAATTTATTCACACCGCACGATGCAACACGTCGCTGCGCAAACGCAGTCCAACACGAAGCATAAAAACGGCAGATTTAGGACAACAATTCGGAGTCCATTGTTCAGTTAAAAGGACGTAATTTTGTTGAAAACTCCCGCAGCTTTTTACTCATGGTATGCGTCGGGAAACTTCCACATTTTGAAACAGAACGAGGCAGATTTACTTTTAAAAACGCTCGCTGCGTCCTCCCGGACCAGTTTAACTGGATCAGCTGACGACGACGGGACTTAACTGGTTGAACGTCAACCCCACAACAACCAATTTGCGCTCCGTGTTAGCACCGCATTACACACACCACGAACGTTTCAGCTCTGTCGCATCGCCGTGTTGCACCTAACAGAACGAGATCGCCGAAACCAACGCAGCGCTGTTGTGAACCTTGGCTTGTGGTTGCGCACTCGTGGATTCTGTGACTCCCTTCGGTTTCAAAGCGCGCACGACGATCACGAACGATACTTTCCGTCTTCCGGGAACATCACAGGGGCACTTCTCCGGTCACGTCTTCGCTATATGTGCTCGCAAACCGCGTCAACCAAAACAATACCGCGGCCTGGCGTAGTTGCCAGATCTTGCCGGAAGTCGAGACGCTGCGTCGTTGAACTCCTCAACGCAAGGAGAGTGAGGGGCGGGGCGTACTCCTCTTCCGCGGGGGTCGGAAGAGCGGGAGTTTCAAATGTGGAGAGGTTCTGACTCTACTCAATTACGTCCTGTGGCGTAAATATTGATAAAAAAAAAATCATTTTTTTCGCGGAACCTTTGTTTTGTGACATGCTTGTCCCAACTAGGCTGCTTAAAAAAAAAACTTTTTTTCTTTGCAGTTACCCTTTAAGCACTAAAACCACTACTGTTTTTTTGTTTTTTTTGAAAATGGCATTGTGTCTACTTGCCTGATGGTATACCTGGAAAGTCAATCTCCGTTATTTAGGGAGCTAGCGGAGCAACCGGCGGCAATAAAAAGTATGTTTTAAAACCACGTTCTGAATTTTGGCACTGAATATAAAGTTGTAACTACTATGCCAAGCTTAATCTCAAAGAACAGCCGAGTTTTAGGTTAAAACGTTTTTCTCATTGTCATTAGCTGCATGAGCTTCCTCCGTATAGTTGGCAAAGGTTGGCTCTCTGTACATGCTCTGCGGGTGTAACGAGAATATATAAATATTCAAGCAAAAGGAGCCCAAAAGTTGTAGCCCCGCCGGGGATATCTGAGTCATCAAGTTACACTGTCTGCAATTGTCACAGCAACTATGGCACCAAACATTCATCCCCAGTAGTTAAACTTCTTTTTCTATTTCCAGCGCACTGCCACGTGAATGGAGTAATCCCGTTTTCTATGAACTACAAAATTCCTTGCGTTATGGTGTTCAGAAAGGGTAGCGCCAGCACAGTTTTCTAGATACTTACCTCTAGCGTGGTCACCCGAAAGGTTTTAATTCAAAGAGTTCATCCCCTACAGGTAAACCGATACAAAAGCTCTCAAGATCTATATTATGTTATCAGAGTTTAGTAAAAACGATGACTCCACAAAAAATATAAACACTCCCCCCCCCCCGTTTTACACCGAGGAACCGCCCCCCCCCCCCCCCAAAATGGAGGTCTGGATCCGCCCCTGAATAGTCGGCGTAGAATGTTCGACGCGTAGGACATTCGGACCTCCAACAAGCCCCCCCCCCCCCCCCCCCCCCCCCTGGCTGCTGGCTCGTGGAAAGAACGTGCGCCACTTATTATGGGCACTAAATTCTTTGGTTCAGTATCCCTTTAAAGGGACACTGACACCCCCCCCCCCCCCCAATTTTTTTTTTAATTTTTTGCCAGGCGCTTTATTATGGTGCCGGAGGACTACCCAATTAATATTTTGCAACAGAGTAGCGCATTTTTTTAATAAAGCCAAAAGACGCAACTGCTTGAAACCGAAACTGAAACCCCCGCACGGAGGTCGGAGAAGTGGAGAGAAGAGGGTTAGCGGCGGAAGTCACGTCGCTACACCCGACCGTGCGTTTTTTTTTTCTCCTCCTCTGCGTAGCAGACGACATGCGGCGCTATTATTTTGCAGTTATGTTTGTTCCGCTCTCTGTTCTATACTCCAAGATGAGTTGTTTTGTACATTGAGGAGTTGGAGATGAGTAGTGACTGCCCGTGGTGAATTTTCATGATCGGCTTCGAAAAGAATACACCCAAGATGTTACGTGAAGAGCTGACTCACATGTCCTGCGTCCGAAAAAAAGTGGCATTGTGCGACAGAGTTTCCGAAAGATCAACGGGATCGGGACCAATGGCTGGCTGCAATTCCTGTAGAACATTTACGGGCACCTCGGAAAGCGGACGCTACCTGATTTATATGCTCCTTGCATTTTGTGGAAAGTGATTACATCGAGTTCGCAGGTGTCAAAAAGGAAATCCCATACCATTTAATTCAGCGACGGGTCGTCCACAACATTTGTTTGTTATTTTTTTTTGTTTGCTTCTTCAGTGATAGTTGTAACAAGAAAAAAAGAAATGCAGACATCGCAAATATTTTGAAGAAAGAAATTTCGGGATCGAACCCGGTTCTTGCCCGTGTGAAGCGGACGTCTTTCCCACTGAGCTACTGGGGCATCCGTCTGCCGAGGGATTTTTTTTCTTAGTAATAATTCAGCCGGTAAACTAAGTTGGAAAGTTTGCTGCCGATTTTCCTCCTGCAAAAGCACTCCCGGGTCGAAGTCGGGAAGCACCACGCATTGGCGACATTCGCACCTAGTAAAGAAATCGTACGCCTGCATATTCAACTCGAAGTAGACACGTCGTGCTTGACGTTTGCGCGAGCGATGTCTTCAGCCACAAGAAGGGAGGGACGGCTCGGCGACGTCTTCGCGCAAATCGGCTTGGTGGTCGGGCGTGTCGTACGGGATGAATACCAGTTCTTTTGATCAGTCCCAAATTTTTCTTTTAAAGGCAGACAGAATTCGCCGGTATCGCGAATGACCGTTCTGAAGTAGACTTCCCACGCCCGTCGTCCGCTGCCATCGCCGTCCCCGCAAGCCCCACGGTACGCGAAACGACGCACGCACAGAATGCTTCCGGTTCTCTGTGGAACTTTTTTTTCAATTAATGTATTTG